TGCACCGGATGTATGCATCAGCACAGAGCATTCAGAACAACTTCAGAGCATTCAGAACTCCTAACATCCCCTGAAGCCACACAAGAGAGTCCATGGGCAAGAAGAGATTTTGCACTTCTTCCATTCATAACTCACATTCTTGGCCAACTGAGAAATAACAGTTCACTTTGTGCATTTTCCCCCCATTCACCTACCACATCCATGATTAACAAATATAGCAATTTACTGTATGAGTGCATAATGCTGATATTATATTCTTTTTAAGGTTATATGTTTGGAGCATATAAAAGGCTGTGGAGGTGCTGGCTGACAGGTACTTTCTGTGGTAAAGCTCTGATTCTAATTTAGCAAACATGTTGCATAATTTGAGAGATTATATTTGACTCCCACCCACCGCCATTTACGCTGGCAGGTAACTGAAATGTTATTTACATATATTGCATAAGAGTACTTACCACTGCAGCTTGCCATTAAAATACTCTGATTAATTGATTACACATAATTCATGTGTAAATGAATGCAAATTGCTAGCTTACATATATAATGTAAACTTCACTTCTGATGTAGTTGTATACAATTCAGCATTACTCTCTAAACATTAATTTTGCCTTATAGTGGTAATGACATCTTAATAAACACTGTCAACACCAGGCAAGTTACATAAAAGGTCTAATATTGATCTTATTCATTGTTTGCTAACCCCTACATAACATTTATGTGCTAAAGGGAATACCTTGCATAATCACATATTATTTCATTTCCTGGTTTCTGGCCTAGCTTCAAGGCATGGGACTGTTTCACAGATGACCCCAACATTGATGTCCTCAATGCAGTAAAGAGCAGATGTGATCCTCTGACTCCCTCCACAATGAGCATTAGAGTGACCCTGGGACTAGCAAGCATATGCAGCCCATCCACCCCTTTTCCAGTGGGGATCACATGAGCATGCAAACACAGGTGTGCTACATCCATATCACACCAGGCTGGATCCTAACTCCTGCAAACGGGGGGGGGGGAACTTTGCAGAAGTAGATCTTCCCACTTTCCCTTGCCGCCTCCAAAAGCCTCTGGCCTGCAGCATTCCAAGATTGCTCTGCTAGCACATGGAGAAGGAGAGAGTCTGCCTGATTCCCCCCCCTTCTTCCTGCAGTCATCCATGATGCATGGCATTTTTTTTCGGGAGAGTCCTCACCATCTCCAGCAGAGTATTGTCAGGGTGTGCAGAGAGCTGCTGGATGAAGGCAGAGAGGATTCACTCTTGATTAATATCTTCAATTTGTGAGAGCTAGAATCCAAGCCATAATGTTCAAGGCTTGTTCGCATGCCCCACTGCTGAAAGCGGTTGATGTTTGGGCCATATGTGTACTGCACCATGGTGGCCAAGTGATTAGAGGTACCTTCCAGCCTTTTCAGTGTGCATGAGTTTGACACTCTTGAAGAGAAGAGAGTCAGCTATTTACCATAGCATATGCAACATAACCCTGATCAGTTTGCAGAAAAAAATTAAAAGAGACTTCAGTTATGTTACACATTTCTCAAGCTAGAAACGTGGACTCTGACATAGGCTACCTGACTCACATAATGGTGTGTATCATCAAAACGTTCCATACTTATTCACTAACAAGAGTTCATTAAGACTGGACACATACCTCAAACAATGGCTGCCTTCAGAAATAAGGGCAAAATATGGTAAGTCTGTGGGTGTATGCACTTCCCCTTCCACTTTCCTAACCTTGCATGTGGCCTGGAAACAGAAAGTTTCCAGGTCTGCATTTCTGAAGAAGGTAAGGAGATGGATCACGACCAATTAAAGTAAAGCTCAGTCCAGACAAGACTGAAGTATTGTTGGTTAATGACACTTGACCTGTCCTGGAGAGGGTCACATTCCCCATGAAGGAGGAGGTTCATAATTCAAGGTGCTGCTAGATTCTGGCCAGTGGTTAGAGGCTCAGAACTCCTTCATAGCACATAGCGCCATTCATCAGCTTGGGCGGATATGCTGGCTATGCCATTCTTCAAAAAGTATGATCTTACCACTGTGATCCATGCTCTGATCACATCCAGCAAAAATTACTGTAACATGTTCTACATAGGGTTGCCTTTGAAAACAATACAGAAACTTCAACTGGTTCAAAATGCAGTGGCCAGGCTACTGGACACAAGGGCTGTATGATCCCTGTGCTGAAGACCTCCACTGGCTGTCCATCTGTTTCCGGGTGCTATTAAAAGCATTGGCTCTTACTTTAAACCTCTAATGGTTTCGGTCCAAGGCACTTGAGGGAGTGCCTCATCCTCTACTGACCAGCCCACCCAACTGTGTGCAGTTCTGGGCACCACGCCTTAAAAAGGATATTAGAGCTTTGGAAAAAGTGCAGAAAAGGACAACTCGAATGATAAAAGGGTTGGAACACTTTCCCTATGAGGAAAGGTTAAAGCGCTTAGGGCTCTTTAGCTTGGAGAAAAGACGACTGAGGGGTGACATGATTGAGGTTTATAAGATTATGCATGGGAAAGAGCAGGTAGAGAAAGAGGTACTTTTCTCCCTTTCTCACAATACAAGAACTCGTGGGCACTCCATGAAACTGCAGAGCGGTCGGGTTAGAACGGATAAAAGGAAGTACTTCTTCACCCAAAGAGTGATTAACACATGGAATTCACTGCCATAGGAAGTGGTGGGTGCTACAAGCATGGACGGCTTCAAAAGGGAATTAGATAAGCATATGGAGCCAGAGGTCCATCAGTGGCTATTAGCCACAAGGTATAGCTAGGGGCTCTGGGGCAAGTGATGCTCTGTCTTCTTGGTGCTTGGGGGGGGGGGGTCAACAGTGGGAGGGCTTCTAATGTCCTGGCCCCACTGGTGGACCTCCTGATGGCACTGGTATTTCTGGCCACTGTGTGACACAGAGTGTTGGACTGGATGGGCCTTTGGCCTGATCCAACATTGGCGTCTCTTATGTTCTTATGTTCTTAAGAGCTTTCTCACAAGCCCTGCTCTCTGTGCCCTCTCCTGCACTGACGGCAGCATCCCTATGGAACGCTCTACTCCTTACAGCTCATCTGGTGCCTATCTTACTCTATTTTAGGCACCAGACCAAAGCATTTATCTTACCCAGGCTTTTAACCAAGGGATTTGGTCTTTTAAATTTGTTTGTATAGTGTGCTTCTAGCTGGAGGACTGTTTTATGATAATAATTTTAGGCTGTTCAACATTTTGTGCTGTTTTTATGCTTTGGCTGAATTTTCTTTGTGACTGGAGTTTTAATGGCTGGGTCTTTATTAATTATAATGATTTTTATGCTGTATTATGACTTTATGTTTTAGCTAGTGAGCCATCTCAAACAGTTGTCTGGAGAAATGGCATATACATTTTCTAAATACATAACAGTTTGCCTTTCTCTAAACCATAAATTATTTTTCTTGCCTAAAGGGAATACCTTTCTCTCTCTTTTTCTTTCTCTTCTTATTTCCTTCTCTCCCTCTTTCCCTCCCTCTTTCCTTCTCTTTTCTTTCTTTCTTTGCAGATTTGCATGTCCCCCCCCCATAGCTAGCAATCCAAATGAGTCCGGTGGCACCTTTAAGATCAAGGTTTATTCAGGTACAAGCTCTCCCTCCTCTGTGAGGGCAGATCTGCACTGTCAGGGGTGTGGGCTAATATGCTAATGAGTTTCTGCTGTTGGGTGTGGCCTATTATGCTAATGAGTTCCTGCTGTTTTCTACAAAAAGAGCCCTGCTCTGAGGGCATGTAATTATAAGCAACAATACCAACAAACCATAGCTGGTTTAATCCTGGTTTTGAATCCTTGGTTTCTATGTAAGAAACAAACCATAATTTCTGATTTGGATGTAACAATAAACTCTAGTTTGTTGTGGATGTTGAAGTAAGGTGTGTACAAGCGATGGAGTGAGAGGGAGTGCGCAAAGCCAATGACTTCCAAGATTTGTTTTTGTTATGACAAACCATGATTTATCATGATTTAAACCATGATTTATAATTTAAAAACTGCCAGAATGTATCCTTGCTGCTGCTCTCTCACCAATTCATATCTTTGTGTATATTTCCAGAACGACCAGACCACCCATTTCTTTGCTTCTTTAAACAAGGCTGCCATATCTGGATATTCTGGATATTCCCTTATGTAGCATTTTGCTACAGATGCTAATCTACAGTTCTTTGACAGTGTCACCAAGGCAGGCCTGTAGCTACAGTGGGGCATTTCAGGGCCCTGCCCCCTTAATTAAAAGCCCTGCCCCACAAATAGCTATGCCAGAAATCTTATTTTTGAGGAGAGACCCCCTGCTGCCTGCTGCTGGCAGCAGCCAGGGTGAGAGCAAGGCTTCCCTCTCCCTCCCACTGTAGAATTGGTGGGGGGGCATCACGGGACCTGAAAAAGACAGCTCAAAGGGCATTTAATTACCTTCAGAAGACATTTAAATGCCTTTTATGTTCCTTTCCAAAGGGCAAGAAAGCTTAGAAGGGCACTCATCTCCAACAATCCCCCTTTCTGTTAGCCCAGTCCTACTGTATAGCACCTAGGTCATGGTGAGTCTAGCAGAAAGGGGGCTGAGTGGTGAAGTGCTGAAGGTGCCACTCTTGAGTGCCCTTCTAAGCTGTCTTGTCCTGGGGAAAGGAACTCAAAAGGCATTTGAATGCCCTCTGAGCTGTGTTTTTCTAGGAACTGATGCGCTAGCTGCCCTGTCCCTTGAAAGGAAGGGCTAGAAACAAGCTCAGAGCCTCCCCTTTTAAAGACAGGCATTCATATTAATTTAATTAACTTTAATTTAATTGTCCCCTTTAAAATTTATATGCCCCACAAACAAAAGAATCCTGACTATGGGCCTGCACCAAGGGGTGGCTCTGAAACAAATTTATGGTCTATTCCATGTATTTGTCCTCACAGCATTTTGCAATAAATAGAAAAGCACACCAGCGTCTGACAAATGAGCAAATTTTTGAGCCTTACAACATTGCAATAACCACCATGTCACTGATACAAAGTTACCTGATAGCCATATTGTGTGATGCTGTTCCAAGAGCTCTTCTACCCAGAATGCACAGGGCAAAGGAAAGAGTTACTAAAGGAGAGTCTTCATCACAGTCTATAGGCTGTAAAACATTTAAGGCCTTTATAGTTAGTTTTTACTTTATTTACTTCATGTATAGGCAGCCTTTCTCACTGAGACTCAAGGTGGATTAAAATATTTTTTTTAATTCAGTCAGACAGCGCAAGGTATCAAGTAACAATGCAATAAACAGGATTACAGAAGTTATGCTTTAAAGAAATCTCTCTGACATTGCAACATTATGGTACAAACTGCATGAAACTCTCATAGCTTTTGACCAGTGTTCTTTAATTCCATAACATATTTGTCTAAGGTTTGTGGGGTTACTTCTTCAATAAATGTTTTCTAAAATCAGCATGGTGTTTGTTTTCTGAATATAACATTTTGGCCAGAATACTTTTTCTCTTTCCTTTGTCAATTACAGTTTGTTCTTTGTTAGGACATTGTTAGTAATGCCACCCTCCAGTTTGGAGATCTCCCAGAATTACAACTGATTTCCAGACTCCTCTGGAGAAAATGGCTGATTTCTATGGCATCATACCCTGCTGAGGTTCTGCCCATTCTCAAACCCTGCCCCTCCCAGTCTCTACCCCCAAATCTCCAGAAATTTCCCAATCTGGAGATGGCAATCCTAGACATAATTCTGCCTCAACTTTTGGAGTCAGCCTATTATATCCATAAATCTGATGTTCATTGAGAAATGAGTAACAAAAGAGGGAACACATAAAGTAAATGATATATGCTTCAACCTGATAAACTTTGTTGGTTTAATTTGGAACAAATGGTCTCAGTACTACTCTGCTCACCTGCTAATAACAGGAATTCAGTTAAGGGAGAAAATGCCCTCCCACTTATACAGTTAGCAACAAGAGACAAGTATGTACGTACTTCCATTCTTTTCCCAGCACAGAACTGAATCCAGTCCAGGTAAACACTGCAGAAGCTTGCTCTGGTTATTCCTTGAAGACAGGGCACATAGTCATCATCAATGTTAATATTAAACATTGCAAGGTCACGTTCTATATAATGCCATTTGGAGAAAGGCTGCAGTGTCTTTTGGAATAATTCATCTCTTATCCAGTATAGGATTTTGGGTGAACTTGCAGTAAAGTATATAATGCTCTGTTGATGGAAGTTAAAAAAGAAAAGAAAAAGATTTTGCTTGTTTTAATAACATTAGCTCCTGACTTTACAGAACTTTTCAGACAAAGTGAGAAAGTTGACTGAATCATCGTCATAGGAACAAGTGTACCGTATCATGGATGTGCATTCTTGGGAATGAGGTTAATGACCAATATTTTTTCCTTTGGTTATAGACAGTAATTATCAAAATAACTGTATCATGGTCAAAGTTTGAGTCCAGTGGCACCTTTAAGACCATTGGACTCAAACTTTGTTCTACTGTTTCAGACCAACACGACTACCCACCTGGATGTATCATGGTCAGTTTATGAAGAATGAAAATTATTGTGTCAGGAGCCAAATGTAATGTTATTAGTTTGACCACTGAGGAAGGCCAATTTTGGGCGAAACACATCGGTCAGCGTCAATATTTGTCATTCTTGGATGTTATTACAGATTGTCAGTCATAACCGAGGCTATTGTAAGGGGTCAATACCTGATCTTAATCAATGGTGAAATAAATACATGTATTTTCATAGATCTGTTAATATTTGTTCATTTTAAATTGACAGACAGCATTATTTGGCCTGCATGTTTATGTTTTCTTAATCACGCGAGTTAAAATTCCTTTGAAGATGAAAGAAGAACAGTCTATAGAGGGAGTCCTCAGAGCTGACTGCCATTCTTTGCCATCTCCAGTCCTTTATAATGCTAGGAATTTTCTTGTCCATAAACATCTGTCAGCTCTGGGAACAGATGATGTTAAGATTGCATTTTCAACATGAACGAAAAGCACAGCGGCAAAATAAAGAGGGATGAAGGACACAATGGAGTCAGCATAGCTAACACTATTTAAAATTCTTGGAATCCGTCTTCAAACTAACAATTATATCTGCAGAAGGGACTGTATTTATTGTAACGAAACAAGACAGACAGCTAGATACAAAACAAGGACAGGTCTTAATTTTTCAGTGTGTAGAAAGTGATAAGCACAATGCTTTTTAAGAAGAAATACGCAGATACAATGGATTTCAAAACATGCCACATTCAAAGATAGCAGACTTTGGCCTTCTTTTAAGAGATGTTTGAAGAGGAATAAATTGAAAAGTGAATATTACAGTACTGGGGGAATAAATAACCTCCCACAACCAGGCAGAAAATGATTTCAAATATATGCAGAAAGGCTACAGGAGTTGTCCCACTTTATTAAAGGCGAGCAAAAATTCCTTTTATGTGAAGAAATAGTTCTTTTTCTCTCATAGCTGTCAGCTCCATGGCAAGTAGGAAAAAAAAGGAATAAAAGCCAAATGCAGAGTATTGTTAAAAAGATCAACATGAATTCCTCAAACTTATGACCAGGTAAAATTAAAATATTTTGCAGAAAAATATTTCTTCTAGTTTGACAAGTTTACATAGCTGTATACGCTGCTCAAAAGATCATAAGTTCCTGATTGTTAATGTTTTATGTCTTTAACTGCTACATCATCATCTCCCTTTGTTTTATTTATTTCAGCATCTTTAAAATGGGCTATATATGAACATATATTTATTAGACCTCAGCATAAAAAAGAAACCTGAGATAATATTGGTCTTTGATCCTTAACTCTAGTATCTTCCTGGTACTCGTAATGTCACATTGACTTAGCTAATAATGATTCTATGCAACTTTTGTCATGTAAGAAAACTCTCTGCTTAATAACAACGACATTTAAATTCTCTGAATGATGCTTTGAACTTAAAAGTTTAAGCTACATGCCATTCACTGCTGTGCTCTGGTGCTAGACTCTGTGCTAGACCAAAACTAGCTTATCAGCACATGTTCAGTTACATTTATGTGGACACACAGGGATGGATCCAAAGTCCCTCTTCCACAAGGGGAAGTACTGCTCACACAAGTGGGGATTTGTTTTACTAATTCCCTCTTCCCACCAGAGCCCCCCATGTCACATCTCACACTGTTCCACAGGGTCTGCAGTGGGAAAGAGAACGATCTGTTTCCGTAAGAAGAGTGCTTGTATGTTTATGACAATATCTTACATGTGTTGAGGTACAGGACTAAACTCTTTGTAGGAAGCATGGTGCAACTCAGGGATGAATGTGTCTGGGTTATGAGGACTGATGTCCATCTCAAAAAACTGTATATTCTGTGCCTTTCACAAGTTCACATAACTTACAAATCAAACTAAACAACCAGCACAGGACAATATTAAAAAAAAAATAATTATCAGATATAGGTTCAGAAAACAAACCAATAAAAACTGTAAACGCCCTCTGGAATAAAAACAAAATAAGAAACAAAACAGAGTTTTTATAACAGTGACCAAAGGAGTGGATCTCTTCGTCTTCTTTGGAAGATTCATCCAGTGGCAGCACACAGTTGCTGAAAAGTACATGCCCATATAAATTTTGGGGAGAGGGGTCATGACCAACATCACCTGCTGGGCTGGCCAAAGATGGCACACAGGTTCATATACGGGGAGGCAGTTCTTTAGAAATGTAGGTCCGAGATCAAGGAACGTAAGACCCGGCACCCTGAATTAAGTTTGGAAGCAAACAGACAGAAAATGTGTGTGCACCTCAGTCTATATAACTTAAACAGCAGACTTGCAAATTCTGAACTCATTTCAGCTTCCAGGCTGGCTTCGAGGGCAGTGCCCATATAAAGTACATTACAGTAATGCATGGACCAGTGCAGCCAGTTCAGTAGAATCAAGAAGGGAGATTAATTTACAAATTACAAATGGAAAGGAAACACTGACAGCTGCTTTGTTTCCATCCATTTTTTATATGGCTGAATCATTGAGAGAATTGTGCAATAAATTCAGTTATTTCCTACATGCAATGGCTGGTTTGTAGAATCCTAAAGCCAACTCCTTTTGCCTCAAAATATGTAGGACATTATCACTAGACTGGCTCCCATTCTAGCTTAAATCTTCCATTTAGTAAATCCCACATACACTTTACGCAAGACCATCTGTTAAATGAAGCACTTTATTGTTATTTATTGTTATTGTTACAGTTGTGATTTTATTGTTTTATTGGGTTTTATGCTGGGCTTGAGCCCCTGTAAGCCGCCCTGAGCCGCTCGCGGGGAGGGCGGGGTAAAAATGCCTTAAATAAATAAATAAATAATAATTTCCCCATAAATATTGTCTGGCAATCACTTAAACAAGAAAATTCAGGAAGATGTTCATTGCTTATCTTTGAAAGTCTGCAAAGAGTTAATACATTTCCTCCACTCTCTCCATAGCCAAATGGAAAGACACACTAGCACTTCTTTAAAGAGAATACCCAAATGTTAATATGTTATGGCTTAATCTGTAATTAAATTGTGCTAAATCTACCTAATCCTTGCAAATGGCTGCTCATGTACCAATAGCAGCTAGACAGCATCCTGTGTTCAGTGGCATCCTGTGGTATCTGATCACTTGACCTTTTGTGTTTTCATGTGTGCTGTGCTTCCTGCTCACTGCTTGTCGACCACTTCCTTTTGTGATTGGTGGACATGCAGGGATTGATAAGGCAAGGTTAGTGACAAAGCATGATCATAACATTATGCAGTATGATTAGTGTATGGTACGGAATTCTATTCGGATTGTCTACCTTTCTTTCATCTATGCTCTTTTGCATATGTTAGACATGATTTTGAGAGAAGTCATGTTTTGTCATCACATTATTGTCCCATTACAGGAAAGAGAGGACAGATCCATTAATGCCTATAGAACTTTCTTTATCATAGGCATTCCATCCTTCCATATCCAGTATGTCAACTTTCAACATTTGACTTGTGTGATGCAAAAGCACTGTCCTGAATGGCTGTGCCATGCAACCTATTGAGTGTTTCATTAAGCGGGTACACCAGGAGGGTTGCCAAATGTTACCTACCTTGCTGGCAGGGGACTCCAGCGCGGCTCCTGTTGCGCGCACTGCATGCACGTCACAGGGAAGTGACGTCATGACACTGGGCACGCTGGGGTGGGGTTCCCCCCGGGGCCCGATTCCCCGGCGTTGGGGAACGGGCCTCTGGGGCGGGGGGATTTCCACCCCCCGGGGGGATTTGGCAGCCCTATACACCAGTACCATGAGTCATAATGGAGCCCCTTGACAATGGCGATTGCAACAAATCCTGTTTACCCTTGTACAATAGACTGAACTGTTAAATAACATTCTTTTCCCCTTAGATATGGCAGGGAAATTTTTATTACCTTTATGTAATATCTGATGAGTATTCTCCGCAGGTCAAACACTTGAAGCATTGTTGCGGCATTGTTATCGATAATGCGATAGCCTTCCAGGACATAATGGGTCCGTGTTATTTCCCAGGTCAGCCATCTCAGATTGAACGCCGCGTTGCATGATAGCAAGTGAGGCAAGTGCCCTGGTTTACAGCAGCAACAGCCTTCGTTATCCTCGTCTCCTTCTGTGATCGCTTCCACCTCTCTTTGCTGGCAGTAGGTCCCTTGGGGGATTAAAGCACAGCACAATGACGGTTACGGAAGATATCAATGCAAAGTAGCTGTTCAAAGACAACAGCCTGCTCACTGTCCTATGCTTAATAGATGGCTATTGAAAAAAGGACAGCTACAACAATGAATACAATGTGCCAATTAATCTGTGCTCTGCAGAGAGTGAGGAGATGCAGCCTATTTATTGCACTTTATAAAGTGAAATATGCCTAATTCTATGCTTTAGGCATATTGGCATAAATTACATAAAACATAATTACATCCAAACAAGCTGTGCTTTAAATATAGAAATATTGGGGACACAGTTTAGAAACATACGTCAGGGACCTAGCCTTTTGATTACCTAAAGCATAAAACCAATGTGTTTCTTTATGAGTTTATGTATCTGTTCTATTAAGGTGGAAGATGTTCACCAATGAGACTAAAAAAAGTTAAGAAGGATTTGTACATAGAAAACAAGACCATTAGGGGTGGTAGTGGACATGCTAGTTGGCCAGATCTGTAAAGATATAAATAAATTGGGAAACCAATGCAATTCTATGAAGATAGACTTCAAGTACTAGCACAGGATCTTGCTTTCATTTTGTTCTTGTGTATCCCAATCCAGCAATTCCAGTGGACATGCACAGACACCAATACATGCATGTGGATCTGAATTAACCAAGGCTGGCCAATTTTCTTTCATGGGTGTTTAACCCCATTGTGCATATGGAAGGTTTGTGAGTTTTAAATTGTGACCAGAGCATAGATCATTATATTTACTGGATCAACTTAGTAGAAATGCCTAAAGGTAATAGTGTTAGCCTGAAGTGTAGTTATAATGTGCCAGTTAATCTGTGTGTAGTTACAATGTGCCAATTAATCAGATTATCACAAGTTTTATACCTCTACAAATATGCTGGTCCACTAAATAGGGCTGCGAGACCCCCCAGACTGGCGGGGTTTACCTGCTTTGTAGGGCTTCAACCTGCCCATCAGCCAGCTGGCTGGCAGGGGAAGCCCTGCCCCCAAGCCTGAACACCGGGAGCCACCCTTCCCTTCTCCCTTGAGAGATTTAAATTTTGCAGAGGGGAGGGAGAGGGGTGCTGTGGATGCCTTTAAGCAAATGGCCCCGTGGGCCCAGTCTCTAAGGGGAGACCAGGTGTAGGGCCCCGCTGGCTGGAAGTGCTTAAAGGGCCCCTTTAAATGCTTTCAGCCAGCAGGGACTTTCCCTGTGCACCCGGTCTCCAAATGGCAATGTCACTTGGAGATCAGGTGCTCGGGGCCCTGCTGGCTGGAAGTGCTGGAAGTGCTCGGGGCCCTGCTGGCTGGAAGTGCTTAAATTCACTGCCACAGGAAGTGGTGGCAGCTACAAGCATGGACGGCTTTAAAAGGGAATTAGATAAGCATATGGAGCAGAGGTCCATCAGTGGCTATTAGCCACAAGGTATGGATGGGGCTCTGGGGCAAGTGATGCTCTGTCTTCTTGGTGCTTGGGGGGGGGTCAACAGTGGGAGGGCTTCTGATGTCCTGGCCCCACTGGTGGACTTCCTGATGGCACTGGTATTTCTGGCCACTGTGTGACACAGAGTGCTGGACTGGATGGGCCTTTGGCCTGATCCAACATTGGCGTCTCTTATGTTCTTATGTAATCCCTTTAAGCATTTCCAGCTGGCGGGGACTGGCCCCACGCACCTGAACTCCAAGTGGCATTGCCGCTTGGAGTTCAGGCATGCTGGCGGCCGCTGCCCCTCTTCCACCACTCTTGCAAGATTTAAAGGGCCTTCCACCTGAATGGTGGGCCATTTAAATCTTGCAGGAGGTTTGGGAGAGGGGTGGCTGGCAGAGATTCTTTTGGGGGGGCAGGGCTTGGTGCAGGACATCCCCAAGGTGACATCATGTTGGGGACACCCCGCTCCCCTCTGGAAATGCCCCCCAAAGTCCCCCACTGGGGACAAAATCAGACCTGGCAACCCTACTACTTAAGAATGACATTTCAACCTGCTGCTTCTTCTCCAACATGAATGGGTGCAAAAGATAACATGATTCCTATTTTCAGCTGGTTTGTCATTTCTGACCTTAAGTCACAAATATCTCCATGTCAAAATGTTCCTTTTATACTACTATTAAAGATTCAGAAGCCATACCTCCTAGGCATCTAATCACCCTGTCTCTAAATATACCAGCTTTAGATGTTTCCTTATGTTCAGTTTTGGAGCAAGACTGGCGAGTGTAATCTGGAACATTAAAATTCAGTGTAAGAGCTGTTTGTGTGCATTGCTAACTAGAGCTACAGATTTCCCCCTTTCTGTTGCAGCAAGCTATACCCTGCCTTTGCTGCAAAAATTGTTATTGCTGCAAATGTTAACATTTTATGTTATTTGATTTATGTATTTCTGTAGTCTTAGGCCAAAAACACAGCTGTCTGTCTTTGATAAGAAAGTCTTAATGCATCTTGCAAGGTTTTTTCCCTTCTTTCACACATTCCAAGATACAAAGCATGGTAACGGTGAGAAAAGAAGCTGTCTATTGGACAACTAAATGATGCTTTCAATTCCTTGAGGAAATTCATAATATTAACCCAGTTCACATCCTGTTCTCCAAAACAGTTTTACTGTGTCTAGGTTCACATTCTGCCTAAGATCCCCTTCCCAACCCTGGCACTCATATGTACACACTCCCTGAGCCTGGAAAAGTTCCCAGTGTCCTTAGATCAGAATATGAATTGTACCCTGTACCAGAGTCTCCTGCTGGCATCTCATAGAGCTGTTGTCTGTACAGAAGCTCCATGTTATTAACTGGTCTATTTGCTGCAAATAACTCAAACTAACAAAATTTGATGGCACGGCACCATAAACAAACATATTCTAGAATGAACTTTTTAAAGTCTCACAAGAATCTGTTGTTGTTGCCACAAGCAATTAGCACTATTACATTGGGGGGGGGGCAGGGGGAAATGACTAGAGGGTCTCATTCAGACCTTTGCCCTGCTTCCCATGTATATGTATACATGGTTAACACAGTAGATTCTAGACTTTCTGGATTATCTTTCACTCTTCTGAGTTACATTATGTGCTCAGAGAGGCTTCAGCAACCAGTCTTCATCTTGAATAGTCATTCCTACCCAACAGCATATGTTCACGTTTCCTTGTAATATATTCCTTCTCTCAGAATAATAACACCTTAGTTTGTTCACTTGCTTTTCCTGACTCCTCCATATACACTGCTTTCTAGAATGGATTAAATAGTACAGCCACTTTTACATAACCAAAAAAGTACAGGTTTCGATCTAACTAAGCACTTCCACAGATGGAAAGATTTCAACCTGTGGAGCTGCACTGAGGGCACTGGGGGTTGTACTGGGATAGGAGAGGAAAGAAAGCTGTGCTCTGTAGATGGAAGCCCAGGGGTCGTTTCGTAGAAAAAGAGCTAGGGGAACTCATTAGCATAACTCATTAGCATATGCCACACCCCCTGACATCACCGGAGGTATGTCATAAGGCCACACCCCCTGACATCACCGGAAGTGTGTCATAAGGCCACACACCCCCCCCCCCAACGGTCCCGGCCACCGCCGCCGGCCTTGCAGCTCCACTGCCGAGCCCCATGAGGGGCCCAGCGGTGGACCTGCAAGGCCGGCGGGAGTGCAAGGAAGCCCTGCAAAGGCCCTCCCTGGCCCCAGGCAGGCAGGGGTGGGGAGAGGCGGGGAGGAAGCAACTTACCCTCCCTCTTCTCCTGCCTCCTCCTGGCTGAATGAGGGCCAGAAGCGGGGCGGCCGGAAGGCAGGGGCGGGGCTTCGTCATGTGCCCCGCCCCCCATACCTCACCCGGGGGAACTGCGATCCCCCCCGAAATGACCTCTGTGGAAGCCTTTCTGTCTGTGAAAATGCTCGGATTCACAGCACAATCTGTTTTCTTCACTGCAATGCAATAACTATATTTTAGCAACCAGTAATGAGCATAAGGGCTGTTCTTTAAATAAAGTCTTTGTATCCTTGTATACATTCATTTACCACAATAAACTACCCTTATTACTCAAACACCATGATTGTGCCTGGAGCATATAATCTAAACTGCTCATATTCATCTACCAATTTGTGATAACCCAGCAAAAACACAAAAAACCCATGGACAATACTACTACTGCAACAGCAGCTGCCTTCCTCAATCTGCCAAGCAATTCCATCCAAGTCAGTGTGGGACTCCCTTCTCTGAATTTTCTCACCAACTTCCAAGCAAAGAATGATATCATATATAAAACTAGAAGAAACTTTTAGCAGTTAATGGTATTAATGAAAGGACAAAGGAAACTAGCTAGAAAGAAAATGAAAGTACTCCAAGGCTGCGGTCACACGCAACATTAGCCACGTAAGAGATACGGAAGACAAGCGGAGTTTCCGGTCGCGATCGCACCAGCACATCTGGGAAGCGTAGCGCTTCCGTGGCACAACTGAGGCTTCCTGCCGAAAAAGCGCAGCAAAAAACTAGTACCTTGGAGGTACTAGTTTCCAGAAACTGCGGGGCAAGGGCGGGCGTCTGATCGCGTTTCCGGTGGTATCCGGCGCCCGCCCATGTCCCCTTGCGGAAAAGGGTTTTTTTCCCCCCACGTCTCCGTGGATGCGCACACGCACCCAACGGAGCATGCGCATTCGTAGTGTACACAAAAAAAGAAAACCAGTTCGCCGCGCCGCGCGCTTCTTCATTGCGCGCAGGCGTGTGTTGTGATCGGCACCTCTCCCTTGCCATGGAACCTCCACAGTACCTCCACAGAACCTCCACAGTAGGTCTGATCGCTTTACTGCATGTTAGTTTGCCCCGGGGCAAACAGCCACACTTCTCCTCTGCAGTTTCCTGCCCGTGTGGCAGGGGCCCAAGTATACCTATTCTGACACAATTTTTCTCAAACATGTCTTTTTTAAAAATAATAAGATAATTGTCACATTAAAGGCAGAAAACCCAGAAAACTACAATAAAAAAAGAGAGTGATACACACAATAGACGGCACACCACAATACTGTCTCTTATAGGTGCAATCACTCAGGCTAATCCACCTATGCTGTAAAGTTTTCCATTATGAGTTAACATAAATTTATAAAATGTAAAGCCATAGGGAAAGAAAGAAAAACAAAATTCAAAAAATAACTATATTAAGTGTGAACTAGTCAAAATCTATATTCAGCTATATCTGTTGGACAGTGTACTTCGGGCTAAGGACACAACAGAATGAGGCTCCCAAATACCACACACACACACACACACCCCGTAGGGAAGAGATCTTGGCTTTTTATATCCATTCAAAATTGGCCATGTATAACCCAGTAGGACTCTATTGTCCATCCACAAAAGCCAAGACCAAAAAACAAACAAACAACCCTAGCCTGAAAGTAGTCCTCAAAATTAGCAGCCATGCTGGACTGCCAGATCTACAACAATTCCAAGCTCCAGCAACTGGTCATTGGTCATTGGAACTGTGTAAAACAAACTCAACAAACAGAATAGAATAATTTGTCTGAGGGCCAGTTTGCACAACCACTGGGGTCTGTAGCTGCCTGTTTTTCTCCCTCTGGCCACAACTGTAACTGGCACATGGTAAGGTAATATGGAAGCTAATCATTGGCTTATATCAAGTCTCATCTGCATTTCTAGGCTAGAAATAGAAAGTTCTGAACCAGAGTACAAGCCTTTATTTTAGTTTTCCCCCATCCTTTCCACAAAAACAAAAAGTTCTGTCTTCCTGTATGTGAACTACGTGCCATCAAGTTGCTTCTGACTTATATCAACCTTATGAATTAAGGATCTCGAAAACATCCTATCATTGATGGCTTTGCTCAAGTTTTCCTACCCCTTCTCCCTTCTTAAACTAAGAAAAGACAGACCACCTTCCCCATATTAACAGATCTAGGAGACATGGAATTCTGAGGGTTGTTGAGCTAAACGTCTGCTTAGCCTCAACTAGGGCAAGGGCTTTTTTTTGGCCCTCGCTCTGGTCTGGTGGAACATGCTCCCATTTAAGATCAGGGCCCTGCAGGATCTAGCACAATTCCACAGGGCCTGTAAAACGGAGCTGTTCTGCCAGGCCTTTGGTTGAAATGGCAGGTGTTCAATCCATTCTGACCCCTTGTCCTGTCCACAGTGCTGTTTATGACTTTTTCCCGGTGTCCTACTGTTTTGGATACTATCCAGACGCTGGAGTTTCCTAGTGTGATTACTACATAAGGCATGGGTTTGGTTTGATCTGCTATTGCTATTTATTGTTTTACTGTTTTTATTGTTTGTTCATTTTATGTTGTGAGCTGTCCTGAGCCCATTTTGGGGGGGCAGGGAAAGAAAGAACAAATTGAAGGGTGCTGTATGACAGAAATACATGTGCATGAATTTCTTGTCATTGCTTTTTTTATATGTTAACTTTAAACCATTCAGTGGTGGTGGATGAATTCATTTCTTAACCAGTTGCTATCTAGCTCCAATATTCAATGTGCAATTAACCAGAACTATTTGAAGCAATAATGAAGTTATCAGAAATTGGGGAGAAGTTAGGTCACAGTTAGATGTTACCCTTTTTGTGGTGATGATAAACATGGTTACCTGATAGAACAAAGTTTGAGTCTGGGCAGGGGTCATTTGGGGGGGGGACGCGGGGGGACGCCATCCCCCCGGGTGAGGTGCGGGAGGGCGGGGCCTGGAGCTCCCTGCTGGTGCCCGCTGGAGGCCGCCACCGGTTGTGGGGAGGACACACTTCCGGTGATGTCAGGGGGTGTGGCATATGCTAATGAGTTATGCTAATGAGTCCCCCTAGCTCTTTTTCTACGAAATGACCCCTGAGTCTGGGTATAAGTTTTTGTGTGCATGCACACTTTATCAGATAACCAGAATTAAACTTTGTTGGTCTTAAAGGTGCCACCGGTCTCAATCTTTGTTCTGTTACTTCAGACCAAGGCTACCCACCTGAGTCTATGGCTACCACTTATCAGATATTTATTATTGTACTACACCATTTTTGTCATAGCATTAATACAACCATGGGAAACTGTGAAGAGTTTAGGATTAGGTTTTGTGGTTGCAACACTGAAGGAACACAGAGAGACACATCACCGCTGAAAACACTAAGTGCCACAATGAAATTTCTAGGCACCAAGGCAACCTGGCACCTGTAATTTGTTGAACTCTGTTCTAACCAATTAAGTTAATTGCCAAAGGGCTCAACTTTTCTTCCACTAACAGATCTCTTGTTTTGCCGTACTGAGCTCTTCCACTACTGAGATGCTCCTAGAAAGAAAAACTACAACACATACAAGCCCAGTGGTGGTTAGCCATGTTATAGCAGATGCACAGAAGGAAAGTGTATGTCTTCAAACAAGAGAAGCTTTTGTTCTAGGCATTTTCCTAAGCAGAGTGTAAGTCACGGTCCTATCTTAAACATGTTTACTTAGAAGCAAGTCCCACTAATTCACTACCCCACCAAGCCCTGAAAACACAGGAAGAAACAGAAACAATCTAGAAAATCTAAAATAGTACTAATTCAATATTTAAAACAACATCAACCCCAACCCAAAGGATTAATTCACACATCACAGAATCAGCCCCACAGATTGACAAACATGGATGGAGGGTTCTGCAGTCAAACCATGTGCTATATAAAGCCAGACAGGCAGATATTAAAATATTAAGTCTACAATCTTATGTAGATTGGCAGTAAAGTTCCATCAAGTTCAATGGGACTAATTAAGAAACATTCTTAGCATCAGTCTCCAAATTCCTTTCATACTACACTAGACCTAAAATCTAACCTGTCATCCAGATGCCATTTTATATTGTGTTTACTGTTAGCACACTTCAAATAATCAGGTATTGTTTTATTTACTTAGTGCATTTTTATCCCACTCATTGTTCAAGGAGCTCAGGTGGCATGCATAGTTCTCCTCCGTGTTACCCTTGAGCCCGCTCGCGGGGAGGGTGGGGTAAAAATGCTTAAAATAATAAATAAATAAATAAATAGCTGCACAACACAACTATAAAGTAAGGCTGAGAGAGAATGGCTGGTCCAAGATCACCCATTAAGTTGCATGTCAACTGGGATTTCGAACCTAGGTCTTCCAGTCCTATCCCAATACCCTCTCCAGTACACCACACTGGTTAGCTAGTGTGCTGAAGTTATTAGACTGTTGGGCTAACCCTGGAGAAACCAATGTCTGAATTCTTACTCTGCTTAAAAGCTCACTGACCTTGGGCCAGTCACATTCTGTCAGCCTCCTTCCTCATAGGGTTGTTCTGAGGATAAAATAGAGCAGAAGACAATAATATATGCCACCCTGAGTTCTGTGGAGGAAAGGTGAGAAGAACATAGAAGACAGACAGATATCCTGCTTTGTGCTGAGGGAGCTCTTCTAACTGTATTAAATGAAAATTCCTTCAGCTTTACTATGTCTTTTATACTGAAAAGAAGATGCCCAGCTGTTAGGTACTAGCAGCATTTTATAATTATGTCCAATACAATAACTCACATGGACCTATAATTTTTGGCTATATCACAGACTAGAAATGACATTAAATTTTGTGAATTAAAAAATGTATGGTAAAGGGCATCTGGCAAAATGATATTTTTTGCCATTTCTGGACCTTCTTTTCTCTTACCTCGAAATTCTAGCCCCCTGAGCTGGAATGTGACCAGACCATTTCCAATTTCAATCAAGTGCACAAAGGCATTCAAATAATCTGATGCCAAAATAAAGCAGTCTCCAGAACTATAGTTTCCCCAGCGTCCAAGAATCAAATCTCCACAAAGCGACTCCTGCAGAGATCTTGTCAGGTGCTCATAAAAGATGGAGTTGAGGTTGTTATCATCATTACCTAAAATCACAACATAGAAAAAGGGATGAAGAACAAATCGCCAAGTAGAAGGCTCTGAAAAGAATTCTATTTTCTTAGTGCTTACTCAACTGGAAGCTCCCCTTCAGAGATATGTGTGCAGTTCTGAATCAGTTGCCAACGAAAGAAAGATGATATAACAAAGTTGTTGCAAAACATGCCTTTTTTGTTGTTCTTGTGCTTACTATAACTTTAATATTTCATTATCATCCTGGACTCCGGATTTCCATTGGCTTCATCCCCAAAGATGGCTCTAACTATTCACCTGATATTTTTCTCCTGAACCAGCAGTGATGCCCACATTTTTGAATACTAGAATTCCTATTAACATGTTCTTATTAACGCAGCAAATTATGAATATGTAGTAGGTAATCTCCTATGCCCCACACCCAATGCACTTGTGTTTTTGTGCAATGCTCAGATCACTAATATGTTTTGCTGTCTCTCAAAATACACATGCACACAGTCCGATGAATCCATCAGACTGGCAACAGCTCTCCAGAGTCTCAGGTACACTGTTTCCTTTAAAACAGGTTTCTGCAATACAACGTGATTAAACAGTAACTTTGGCATTTTGTGGGTACACTCATCCACAACAGACATCAGTGCTAGAATTCTAAAGCCACTATTGGCTACAGTGAGACCCCTTTTCCTGATAATGGCTCACAAAGAAAACCCCAGCACTGATCCTTAACTACTTTATACTGGCAGTACTAGTACTGTTAATGCAGCAGTGCAGAAGCAGCAGAAAAGGGCCAGTAGCTTGGACACCTATGCCAGATCTTCGGGCCATACCACCGAAATGAAAATGACCTGAAGCAAAACCCAAAGCAGCAAACAACAACAGCAAAACCCACAGAGCTCCTGTACGTCTAATACCTGTGCAGAAGAGCTTTGTCATAACTTGTCATGTTGTCAAAATTCCTTCAACACAGCTAGTAAAACATACAGGGATCTTTATATTTGGTCACCCTGTTCAAACCCAGTCTGAGACCAATCCATTGGTGGTTGTTCTTCCAAATGACTGCAGAACTTGAGTCCTGAGCTGGATGGCCCAGGTTTGCTCAATCTCATCAGATTTGGAAGCTGACCAGGGTTGGCCCTGGTTAGTATTTGATGATCACAACAAATGAAGGGGGTTGCAGTATGACATAAACCAACACAATAGAACTACTGCAAATAGTGCAAATCATGCAAATTCTAATTTGTATTAATGCAACGATATTGAATCCAATCCATTGTACACTTATGTTCTACAGAAATAAGGACGTCACAAGATGAAATGAAGACATCAGCAGATGAAACTGGACGAACTCCCCCGGAGTTAACATTCATTTCGAGGTGTCTTTTTCATACATAAGACCTCCTAACAAGAAACATATTCATGACTTATTACAGGAACAGAACCCGGCAGTAACTTTAAAATGCAGAGGGTTGGAATTTTTATTGCATTTACCTGTTTTGTACAATGTTGTAAAATATGGAAGTAATAAGATGGAAACAGAATAAGGTGATCAAATTATGTTTTATTATAGAACAAAGGAAAGTCCAATTTGGAAGATTCGTGTTCATGTGGATGCACAGCTGTATGTATGTAATGATAGCTATATGCTGGATTTAATTATTGCCGGGTTATGTTCCTGTAATAAGTAATGAATATGTTTCTTGTTAGGAGGTCTTATGTATGAAAAAGACACCTCGAAACGAATGTTAACTCTGGGAGAGTTCGTCCAGTTTCATCTGCTGACGTCTTCATTTCATCTTGTGACGTCCTTATTTCTGTAAAACATAAGTGTACAATGGATTGGACTCAATATTGCTGCATTAATACAAATTAGAATTTGCATGATTTGCACTATTTGCAGTAGTTGTATTGTCCTGGTTAGTATTTGGATGGGAGACCACCAAGGAAGTCCAGTGTCACTGAACAGAGGTGTGGGCACTGACAAACCACCTCTGAACATCTCTTGCCTGGAAAACTCCACAGGGTTGCTCTACGTTAGCAGTGACCTGATGGCAAAAACAGACAAACAAGAAAAAATAACCCCCCTCTCCTCAGAGAACAACATCAGCATAGGATATTACAGTGATACAGTAAAAAGTGTTTGAAATTCAGTGGGATGATTTGCTGCTTGACAGTTCCTTTATAAATTCTACTGCATTTACATAGAACATCCCCTCACAATCAGAAGGCATTGTAACATGGAAAAATGCTTTTCAAGGTATTAAATACCTTCAGTATTTTTAACCATACACATTTGTATGTTTCATACCTGCATCCTTTTCAATTTGAAGAACCAATCTTGTATTTGAATGGTCCGCCCGTTTCGTGCTGGAAATAAACAGATATGTACAGATCATCTTTGTACCAGTGCAGTGTTCCAGTTCCTGTTCTGGCTTTAATTGAAAACAGAATATTGTTGGGCAATGTTCCTTTCTCAGACAGCTCGCATCCTTTGAAGGACATCCAGTTGTGTGCACTGGCTGGATCCTTTGCTGTCACTTAAAATATTAGATCCCCCTGTGCTTATATTTAAAGCTATGTTAGGATCAATGGAGTATGGCTTGAAATAACTTGATTCCTTCCCATCTGCTGCCCACAAAAAATGGGTCAGATTCTGTTCAAGGAGAATAAGGGTTTGGATTGCTTTTGGTTTGACTGTGGGTTACGTTTAACCACCTTGATGTTTTTGAAATATTATTACGAAGATCAAAAACTGCATGCTGCTTCTCAAAAGGAATAAAACACATTACAACATTTTAACATGGTAGACTTGGAACACTGCAATTCAGTGGAAACCTAGCTGGAAATTATTTTAAAATGCAAGAGACCATTTCACACATTATACAGGGAATATCAAAGTCTGTCACTGAATCACATTCAGCCTTTGTTCCCTGATGAGGGATACAAGTGTTTGCAAATGTGTTTTCACACTTCATTTTTAGGGATATGTTTAAGATATCTCAGAATGAAGATAAAAATGTGTGAAGAGGCCCATATAACAAGCTGTCTGGTTACCAACCTGATATTGAAATTCTAAATGGCAATTCATGTTCCTGCAAAGCAGGTCAAGCAAGGATGGCCATAAAGGTGATGGATATGGTGATGTGGACTTTTATGAATGGAACTTCCCAATGGATAATTCTAGAAAGATATCAACCAGTACTTTAGAGAAATATATTTATAAAGAGAAAGATGCTTAGAATGCTGTTTTATGAATGTTTAAGCATCTCATATTATGCGCTATTTCTTTTTCAAGGCATACTGGAGATCCAACATTGGTGTAAATGTTTTTCATGTATGACAAAACAGCAGCCTCAGACATTACATACAAAAAGATCACGTGTTTTTCCCCCTGACAGATTCATCCCTGTATAAAACAAACAAAAAACAGACCAAGAAAAAGTCACCAAACAGCCACACAATGCTTTAAAACAATAAAATTTTAAAATAAATAAATAATTTAAAATAATACAAGAAAGAACTGAAGAGCTTCTAATTTTATCCACTTTAACTTCCCATTTCTGATTTCCTAATATCACGTGACTGTTTTAAAACAAAGTGCAGATAAACTTCTTGTTGGCAGAGTATTTAACACAACAATGGTGCACATCCTGATAAAAGAGCAGATAAAGGTTTATTTAGGAGTTAACATACTTGATAAGAAAAAAGAGAGACAAAGATAGATTCCTAACTACATCTCTGGCTGACAGAGAGGGTAGTGACACTTCCGAGAAGAAGAGGGAAATTGCTCTGAGAGTAGCAATCTGGAGACAGGCAAGGAATAACATTTAAAAGGAGAGAAGGTGCTGACCTCACTATCTTATCTAATTGTCTTCTTGCTGCCCCCCGCAGGGTCGTCTTCTCTTTTTCTTTGTATACCAGATATTGCCTTTTCCAACACCCCTTCTCAGGTCTAGTATACAAAGTCCACAAGATTGATCTTCTTATATAGACTTTCTAACTTTTCTCAAGAAAGTGGCTTGATGAGTACGTCTGCAATAATTTCATCTGTAGGACACTATTCCAACTCAACAAGCCCTTCTTCTTGCATGTTTCTTACTAGGTGACGCTTCACATCCATGTGTTTAGTTCTTGAGTTGATCTTGAGTTGATTTCCATCTGTGCAAGTTTTGTGCACCCTTGGTTGTCTTCAAACAGTTGTATTAGTTTGGGTTCCTCTATCCATTTCGGTCCATTTCATGTATTCATTTTAGTTGTCTGCACGCTTCTGCTGCAGATACATACTCAGCTTCAGTTGAGGACACAGCTACACTTTCTTGCTTCCTGCTGCTCCAGCTGACTGCTCTGTCGCCATACAAGAATAAATGTCCAGTGATTTACTTTCTGTCTGTAGTATCTCCTGCATCCATGTATCCCACTAATCTACGATTGTCACCTGTTGGTAACTTTATTTCAGATGTGCAGTGCCATGCAGGTACTTTGCAAGTCTTTTGACTGCATTCCAGCCCCCTTTCGCTTGGCGATTTCGTCTTTCTGCAAAACATGCCCACAGATGCTGTGATATCTGGAGGTGTCAATATGCTTATGTACAGCTCTAGTGTTCTGCGGCGATATGCCTCATTTGGGAGACAACAACACCCAGTCGTTGTTTATAGACCAGCTTTATTTAGTAGAAGGAGACGCCAAGAACGGAGAGCGAAGAACAACACCACAGGACCAGAGAGTACGCTGACCCTCCCCATTCTATTAGGTTAAATCCATCACAATAGAATGGAAATCCACCTACCTAAAGATACACACACATGGCATCTCTCCCTCCAAAAATACAGAGAATGTTGACTACTAATTAGGAATTAAAAATTAAAACACATACATTCACAATAAACAATAAAAGTTCATATATCCTGTACAACAAAATACATACATAGACATTATGGCTTGTATCTTTCTGGAGAAAATACACGCCTACCATAAGACGTTGTACACCTAGGAATCCTTTCTATTGTTTGGGAACTATTCCGTTTCTGATTTTCCATTTGTGTCACTTGATTATCTTGTCCTTGTTCCCTGTTGAACTCATTATCCTTTTCCTCATGCCTCCTCTGTTCTCTTCCCACTCCTTTCTGCTGGCATCTAAGATGGACTCTATTATGCCGATAGGTATTACCATCAGAAGTCTGTACCCTATATGTGCGTGGTTGCTGGCATTGCTCTATTACTACTGCGGGACACCACTGCCTATTTCCCTCTACCCACACCTCATCTCCTTCTTTCAATGATTTAAGTGGTTTCGCTGCTCGATCATCGAAATATTTCTGCGTGTCCTGGATTTCCTGTAAGGCCTCTTTTACTCCACTTGGTGTTTTGGGACATAATCTCTGCTGAGATGCTGGTAACTTAATCCTCAACACTCTGCCCATTAACATTTCTGCTGGTGAATACCTCATTCCTATTATGGGTGTATTATGATATTCCAATAATACTAGATGTATATCCTTTTTTGAATAGTCTGCTTTCCTCATTAACTGTTTGATGGAGCCAATAGCCCTACCATCCCATTCAATCTAGGATATCCAGGACTGCTTAAACATTGTTCAAATGCCCACTCCTGTCTAAACTCTTTACTAGCAAAAGGCATGTTGTCGCTTACTACATTCTTTGGAATTCCATGACGTGCAAATATATTCTTAAATCTAAGGATCACTGTGCTGGCAGTTTTATCTGGCAGTGCCACTACCTCTGGGTATTTTGAATAGTAATCCCATACAATAAGGAATGGAGAGGACTGATAGTCAAAAATGTCTACACCTACTTTTCCCCATGGTAAATCTGGGGTTTCGTGGGGTATAAGTGGCTCCTTTTGATTTTTCACAGCAAATCTAGCACACACAGAACAACTCCTAACCATCCTTTCAATGTCGGCACACATACCCAGCCAATACATTAGCCCTTTCACCTGAGCCTTTGTTCTCTGAATGCCCTGGTGTGATTTGTGAAGCTGAGTTAACACACCTTGTCTCAAAGACACAGGAATAAATAATTTCTCATCCACATACACAATGCCACAACACAGCAACACAACAAACCTTTATTGGCATAACAGCAGCAGCCTTCGGTACAAAAACGACAAACAAGCAAAATAGTTAATTCACTACCCCTTCTGCCGAAAAAGAACTCCTTCTATACGCTCTGTAAATGAAGTTTGCCACCGCTTCGATGGTATCGGCCCTGTTTGAGGCTAGGAGGTTCATTAACTTACTTTCCTTAGATTTGCCCTCCAGGGATCGCAGTATAGGGACGAGGTGATAAGCATATAAATCCTGGTAAAATCTACAAGTCAGAAGTACATGGTCCATTCCTTCAATCTCTTTTACCCCACAGGGACATAACCTATCCGGGAATGGTATTTTTAAAAATCTCCCATATAACACAGCTGAGGGGAGCATGTTAAAACGGGCCAGTGTGAATACCCTTCTAATATAGGGATTGATCAGACAGGAAAAATACTCTTGAAGCAGCCCGTTAAGAGAAATCCCCCAATGAATGGGAGAGCAATGTCCAGTAGCAAGACTTCTAAGTCTTCCAATTGCTTTTCTGTATTGCTTGTTGTCAGGCAGAAGTTCACGATTCCCTTGCTAGTTCAGGTAATTTGTTTCCATAAGAGTGCTTGCTGTCTTAGCTCCTTTCATGTTCATGTACATAGTCCAGAAATTCAAGAATTTTATGCTTCTGATTGAGAAGATAGCTTCCATCTTCCTCTTGTTCTACTTGTATTCCAAGATAATATTTGATGTTTCATAATTCTTTTACTTCTACTTCTTGATTTATATATTTAACTATTTTATCACAGTCCTCCTTGTATTCATAGCATAAAATCAGGTCAGAATGTAAGTCCATTTGTTGTCTCCATATCTTGAGTATAGGCATCATTCTGCATTGCCTTGCTCAAATCCTTCCTTGGTTAGCATTTGATGAAGTTTCTCATTCCAACATCTCACAGCCTGTTTATATATGCTCTTTTGTAGTTTACACATGAATTACTTGTCTTTGGATTGGTCAAATCCTGGTGGCTGTTCCATGTAAATACCTTCCTTTATTTCTCCACTAGCCTGATACCCTGCTTTGCTATGGTATTTAAGTTCTGTAAAATCCAGTTATAATACCAATGATGTGAAGTCTGAAATGTAACATTTGTTGTAGGAATTCTAATGGAGAAGACTGTAGTGAAAAAAAATGAAGACATACATTAAAAAAAAACTCTACTGAAGGACCTCTCTGTAGACCACATTGGTGGTTCTGCCCTCAATTGCTAGGATCACCAGGCTGCTTGGTGAGCTCACTCTGGAGCAGGCAACATAGAACTGTCC